CATTGTTTTTTTTGTCGAGTGGAACACAGAAATCAAAACCAAAACCCAGAACGATATACACAAAGAAAAAAGATCAAAACTCGTTTGCTGCAAGAGCTCGTGTTTTGGAAGGAGCCAGAATGAAACAGCCCAGCATGAGGTGGGGGTTTCAATCCCCACCCACTTAACTCCACCTCCACACCCAAGCCCACAACAGCGGAATGATTCATTGGTGCCTGCCTGTGACGTTAAATCGCATTCGGTTGATGAATTTAAATTGTTCTCATCCAAATGTGTACACTAGAACTACAGAAGGGAAAATAAATGGTGTTGCTTTCTGAACAAAATATCCGTATCATTCTCTTCGCACCTAATTACGGTGATGTCTTAATGCAGATATCATCAAAAATAACAGAAAATATTAGTATTCTTACTACAAAGCAAAGACGCTTTTTTTTAGCAATGATAAACCATGATTTTGTTGATAATTGACATTGACAATAGTTTTATAACTATTAAAAAAAAATTTGAAATAAAACTTTTCGTCAAAATATTGATGATATTTTTATTCCATAATTTAGACCCATTATTAGTTTTTACTTTACTTTTACTTTTTAAAATCAATTCAAAATGTTCGTTAAAGTGACTTAATTTTTTAAGATATTTGGTACAGTTATATTGTTATATGGTTTGTAAATTAGGGTAGGAAATTTATTTTCGTGTAAACTAGTCATCTTTAAGCAGTCATCTAATAACATTCACAAGTGTAAATTCACAGAAAGAATATTAATAATCGATCCCCACCATAGTCATTAAAACCACAAAAAATGTCTATTTCATATCCAAGCCGCTTGCATTTCCATTCATTGTTTTTATGTGTCGCTCTGTCATCCTGTTGGTTTTTTTGTTAGTCTTGAAAAACAAATAGTTAATTATTGATTGACAAGTCCTCAACCCTTTCCATTTCCCATATAGTCAGTCCCCTTCTTTGCAACACAAACCGGGCAAAACTGAAAAGGTGAAAGTGAAAAGTGCCGTTTCTATTGTTGCTTGTCTTTTTTTGTTTGTGCAAAACAATTTAACAATTTATGTGTAAATTTTCACAACGGAAGTTGTTGAAACTTATGTGTGGGGCCAACAGAGCGGCAATAGCAAAAATAACAAGCTATAAAGCTGTAGTTTAACTCATAAGGTCATTGTCATATTTGGTCATCTGATAGAGCATTTTTTTAAACTAGTTGATGAGTCACCAGGTCTGAGAAGCCAATACTTTCATTCATAAAAAATGCCGCCAAACACTTTTACCAGAATTTTATAGAACAAAGAAAGTTTTAAAATTTTTTTTGTTTAATAACAAAATGTAAAATCTTAAAAGTTTTAAATCTTAAAGCGTATTTTAGCGACGCTTACCAAATTATATGGTAGGTTTTACACTAAAATCAATTCAAATTTATTAATAACTAATGTTTGGTCTAGCCAAAGGAGCTGTATGTATAAGCATTTAATCTAAATTAGCATGTTTGACATTATCAGCAAACTGAAAATAACCAAAATTCTAGCTTAACCTTGGTTACTGAACTTTAATCTATAAAAGAAATTCAATTTTACGACATTCCTTATCCATTTCTGCGTATTTAGCTCTGAATTCCATTGAAATTAAATTAAGAAATATTGAATAAGGATCGAAACATTTGGTTCATTAGCCAGTCATGATTAATAAACACAATCTAAACGATTAGCAGATAAGTGGGCAACAAATAGCTGCTTATACTAAGTAGTAAAAGTAAAATGTTCTTTACAAAATACATAGAAAGAACACGATAATTCGGTTTTAGAGGCGGAAATGTGATTGTTTCTGGTTATCTGGGGCGATTGTTCATTATTGCCTAGAGCACAAGGGCTAATCAGGTAAAACCTAAACCAATTTTAGGAAAGACCGCAAAATGAATTATTTTTGTTGGGTAGTTCGGCGCTTGTTGCCAGGACAAAATCCATTCAAAGAGCCACATGGCTCTCTCAGTTCGCCTCTCTCTTTTGGGCACACGCCCAAAACAACAGAAAATAAACAGAAAGAAATAACATCGGGAAAACCAAAACAAATTTAATCGGTTCGAGAAAAGTTCAAGAACAAAATAAAACAGCACCATTTTCCTTTTGCTTATTTTATCGCTTGCCTTCGCTCATCAAATAAACTTAATTAAATATGCAAAAAAAATGCGTGCCTTCGCGCTCTTATTTTATGTCTTGATTTATTGCATAATGCACGATATTCGAAGATTAATGAGGATGTGAAGTAGAGAATCGAAACTAGGACTCGGTCATATCCGAAAGTAATTTATCGGTTGATTCATTAGAAAATAGTTTTCGATCCAGGCTGTGAGATTGAAAGATTTATCAGAAAAAGAGAAAGCTTACTAATGTTGATAATTAATGATTGAAGTAAATTTATCAATAATTGAGTGATCGACAGACAACTCCGTATTACCTTATAGGAAAATGCTAAGATCATTGAAGAAAATTAATTTTTTCTAGACCTGTATGTGAGTATATTGTATATTTGTTTAGAAACATTAACCTTTAAAATAAAATATTTTTGGTATGCATTCTTGTATTTAGTATCTTGATGATAATTTTACAATTTTTTCTTATATTTTATTTACATATTTTTTTATATTTATTGGTAATCAAATAGCAAATATTTTAAATATTAATATAAACAGATTTAATTTAAATGTAAATAAAATACATGAATTAAGTACACCAAATTTCCTTCTCTCATGCTAATTGTGCTTCGTTTTTAAATCCCCCTAAAAATAATACAACTTATTCTTCTCTCTCATAATCCAGCACTTTACCAGAACTCCCACCACCCACCTGATCTTTGACGTCATCAGAGGCTAATGTGTAGGTCTTGGCCCTCTTGTGGGCTTTCAAAATTCCAGATTCATTTGTGTGTATGTGCTTTTGGCGCCGTTGGCAACAAAGTGATGAGCAAAAGCTTTTCTAAGATCGTGGCTAATTTTGAAAATCAAATTTACCAAACATTTAACCAATAGAATTTTTTAATAAAATATTTGATATGAGCCCAGAGTCTCATAAATAACATCATCAGTTGTCACAGACCAAAATAGATAAGTCGGTAGAAGAAAGAGAAGGTTGATCTGCACACGAAATTAAATAAATAATATAAACACTACGCCAAAAATAGCTGACAAGCAAACGAGTGCAAGCAAGAAGGCTACACTGTAAAAATAAAGATAAAACCAAATACAATTAAAGCAAATATTGGTTATATCAATTAATATATGTAAATGTAGAAAAAAAACAATTGTTTATTATAACAATTACCTCCTTGTAAGGATAGAAACAGATACAAATAAACATACAACTTTTTACATAAAAAAGGTATTATGATTATTTAATACGAAAATCTAAAAAGTCGCGATTGTTGACACAACCCTACGAAGGGACAGTATTTCTAGTCTTCGATACATATAAATTTTTAAATTTTAATTTTCTCTAAATTACTCTATAAATGTATATTATTATACTCTATAGTTTTGTTCTGTGTAGAAACAGCCTCGGTATAAAACCAAAATCTTTTTATTTTCCGTCCGCTTACATTTATCATTCCCGTTGAATTTAATTCAATTGCTGACAAAAACGTGTTGATATAGATTCAACCGTGCCTGTCTCCGAACAACAACAAAAGCAACTGAATGATAATAACAACAAACAGGAAGAGGCTATAGCTTTCTATAGCTTGCTTAAGACGATCTCACACAAAATGTGCAGCTAAGTGAATTGATCGAGGAGACGTTGAGGAAAGTGAGATTGTTTCCATGCCACAAAACGCATTCTCTATTATTATAAATTGAATTGAAGTTGTTATTAGCGTTAATTGTGTGATGCATATGACGGGGGGCGTGTGGAAAGTTTAACAAATAGTAGTCAAAGTGCAGCGGCAGGGAAAGCGAGGCCATCTGTATCATTTTCCAGGAGCGGAGTTTATCGGCCTCGGGAGGATTTAAATTCCCCCATCTGGATATGATATATGACAATTTAATAACCAACTATAGGTGCTCGCTTGTAATACAAACTGCAGTTATGTGTATAGTGTAAAGTGCAGTAGATATGCGCGTAACCTTTAGTTGGAACCGAAATTCATTTGTAATTAAAACTTTGAATTTGATTCGAAAATCTTTATTGGAGCTATATTCAATAAACCATTAAATCAACATTATAATATTTATATATTATGTACTAAATATAAACTTTTAAAGTTTTTTTTTTCATCCACTTAGATGAGTATTATACTTAATAAATAATACTATTGCAGCCGCAAATTTTCTCATGTTTTTTTTAAACAAATTCCATTCTGCTAATGACTAAAACTTTTAAGCTGACTAATACAAAACTCTGAATGCATAGCTTTTAGTTTTGTTTACGTGAAGTAATCTTTTTTATTTAAAACGTTTACCTAAAACTTTATTGAGGCCGGAAATATGAAACTTTGGATCAAATCCCTTGGTTTTTTGGCATACAAAATGACCAAGCCATCACACACACGTTCACAGCCCCGCACGTACGTGCGTGCGTGTGGTTGTGTCTGTGGGCCTGGTTGTGTATACACTTAAATAAACAATTTTGAACTATAAACAATATTCGGCACGCACTCACCTTTGCAACAACAGTTATTGAGGTGCAGCCACCCGCTCTCTCTCTCCGCTCTTTTCGCTCTTTGCCTCTCTCCTTTTTTTTGGCTGCTGCAGCTTGATTTTTATGCACACATCAATTTTCAAACTGCGACGCCCTTTTTCCGATTTTCTCTCTTACTAACAAAACAACAACTATAGAACACACACGCTCACACTCTGTTAACAACAATTTGGCTCCTCACTTTTTGTGTATTAGATTTTCCACTTTGATTTTCCTTTCGCTCTGCGCACCTCGCGAAAAGTGTTGTTACTTGACTGAGCAATCAGCGCTATTTATTGTTAAACATTTGCGTTGTTTCTTACATTTGATTTTCTGCCTTTTCAACTTTGCAGCCAGTTGCTGCACTTTACTTTTTGTTTGTCGTCTTCCCTTCGCTTCGCTTCGAAATAGCTCCGACACACGACCATCCGCCGCTTAAAATCAACACAGTGTTCGCTAGAGGTGGAGGAACATCGATGCTCACATCGTTGTTATCGATGTTTACCAAACCAACCGTATCATCGATTTTTAAAAATATCGATGGTATCGATATCGCGCACAATCGATGTTTTCTTCTCTAACAACTATCAAAAATTTGACTCCAGTCATAGAGTAATAATGTATAGAGGCGTCATTTGCTCTGCCTGCGCTCTTGAGTGACATTTCCAGTGATGCCACCTAGTCGAAAAACGGAAAAAAAGAGAGTTTTTCATTTGTTTCATCGAACTGGAATCGAGTCTTATGGTGAATTTCTGCAGCTGCACTGGTCGCTCTCATTGTGTATTTTTTGACTTATGGGGAATGTGGGCGAGCCACCGAAATGGCCTTATGACTTTGCTTTGTTTACAAATATGTTGTTATTGTTTTCCTTTGATGGGCCTGAATTCAACGTCCACACGGGCTGAATTCAACGTCCACAGGGACTGAATTCAACGTCCACATTTCAGTTGGCTTTTAATTTGATTTCACTTGAAAGGCAACAATTGGAATGGAATTAAATTCCAAATGGGAGTTAAATTATATATTTGTAGGAATTAATTTTAATATTAAGCCAGGCCAAATATAGTTTCTTACTCTATGCTTTCCATGCGCTCCCGATTGACTTTTCCAGTGATGCCATGTGGGGGAAAAACGAAAAAAAGAGAGTTTTTCAGTTATTCGATCGATGAAACCACGATGTTTTCTATTTATATGTAATATTATAAATATAATTTAAAATTCACAGTGAAATTTATATAAATAAAATACATAACATTCAGTCAACAGAAATTGCAAAAACAAAAACATAAACTCATGCGATCAGTCTTACAAACTAGTAAGACTTGTTAAAGCTATCATAGTTTTTGTTTATAAACATGAGCTGATTAACTACCCCTGCCTTCAATTGGCTAAAAGCTCGTTCGGATTTACACGACGTAGCAGGAATACAGAAATATTTTTCTACCAGTTCCTAAAAGGCTTAATATTTTTTGATTACTCCTAAAATTATAATTATTTATTTTGAAATAATCATTATATGCAATTTATAAATGCATCGATGTTTCCATCGATGTTGCTGCTCCTCTACTCGTCACTCTTTTGTGCCCAGAATACCTCAATGTAAAAATAGCATAGAATAATCGATGTTGACGGACATCGATGTTTTGGCGGAAAGCATCAGAGTCTTATCGATGTTTAAATAAAAAAATTAATTTTACTGCAAGCGTTCGATGGGGGAAATATACTTGATTTGGCATGAGTTGATGAAATGTATCAAATCCTTCCAGACCAAAATAAAAGGAACGTAAAAATAGTACGATATTTTGTTGATGATGCATAGCTGATTGGGAATATTAATGGGAAATAAATAGAAATCTATCGTAAGGAATGTTACAAATTAGTTTTTCAGCTGAAAAAATAGACACTCTAAAGCTAAAAGGTGTCTCAAAGTTTTACTAATTCAAGTGTTCAGAGAATACCCTCAATTATATATTAAAGTCTCACAATCATTATTTAAAAAAATATATCATAGCAACGCAATTTTGAGAAACTTTTTGCGCTGAAAAATCCCAACTTTTGGTATATGTATGTGTAGACCGTCAAAAGCTGAATGCTAGGAATATTGGTCACTTTGAAGTTATCGCGTTCGCACAATTGCTTTCAAGGTGGTTTTATTTGAAGAAATATATAATATTTAATACATTTCTTTTTACAAAAATACAATTAAACCGTCGATTATTCCCTTCTTGCCACTAATCGATCGAGTATTCGATATCTGCCAGGCGTTAGGCAATTTTACGCCACCCGTTAGGGATTATCCGTTTCCCTTATTGTCATCTTCCTTTTGTGTTTTTGTTTCTCTCTCTCGCTGGAACATAACGGACGTGTCGTTGCGTCGTCCTCTTCGTCGCGCGTGTGTGTGTGTGTGTCTGTGTGTAGTGAAACATTTTGGGGTCGCAGCAAATCGGAGAAAAACTTCTTAATTATACAATACTCGTGCTCGTTCTCGCAGCAAATCTAAGTAAGCAGATTGTGCAATTTAACCGCAAAAAAAAGAAAAAAGTTAGCTGAATTACGTGAGTAGATGGTGTGTGTGTGCCAGAGCGAGGCGGCAAATCAGTGCGGTGTGAATGAGAAAGAGCACCAAAATATAATTTTCTGCGATTGCTTCTGTGTGTACGTGCCTTTGTGTAGTGTGCATGTGTGCTAAAACAAATGCCTAAATTGCAACAAAAGAAAATTGTATGAAATATACGAAGCAAATAGCAGAGCGAAAGCGAAAAAGAGGCTGCTGCTTAAGGAAGAGCATGAAGAAAAAGAAGCAGCAGCAGCCGCGAGTTTTTTCGCGCGAGTGTTAGTGTGCATATATATGTATATGAAAAATAAAGAATAAGAAGAAGCAAATCATCAAAAAGTGAGAAAAGTTATCTTATATTTCCATATTTCTTATAGCGCTTGACAACGAAAATAATATTTAGTAAATGCAAATACAACAGAAGTTAATTTTAGTGCTTAATAATCAGTGAACTGCGGTTTCAAAAGTCGTCGTCTTCCCCTTCTTTGCATTATCTTAACTGAAATGCCACCGACATCAAATAACCAAAATCCACAACCACAACAACGAATGGAATAAAATAAAAACCAAGAACTTTGAAGAGAGGCGTCGGCTAACGGCTTATCAATTGACGAAGCACGAGGAAAAGAAAGGAGAGAAAGACGAGGAAGAAGAGACAATGCGCTGAGTGCGCGAAATGTGAGTAATGTTATAAACCGAAAAGAAATAAAACTAAGAGTTGAATCCAGGAAATGTACATTGCATTCTGTTTATACGCTGACCAGAGAGAATTTAGCAAATTAAACTTGCACAATGGGTTAAGAAAGTGTGTTCACTGGTTGTGTTAATTTTTCGCGACTCTGATAAGATCTGAACTTTAATAATAGACCTTGGAGTCTTATTTATTTATTGGTTTCCCATGTGCCGGATACTTTGGAATCTGGGACAGTTAATTATAAATGCGAGTGGGAGGACAGTGGGCGTTCGCTTTAACAGCAGTATGACACTATGACATTAGGGGTTTTAAATTTAAAGTAATTTAATATAATATTGGATATTTTAGATGTAGCCGTGTAAAGTATTTTGAAAACCGTAAAGAACACAAACAAAATACAATTTTGGTTTATTTTCCTAACAATTAAATAAGTTCATATTTTTTTTTAAATTTGTCCTCAACGTTTAATGATTTTTAAAAGATTTGAAAACTATAAACAAGTAATTAAATTTTTTTAAAGAGCCAGAACCTACATTTTAAAAACTGTCTTTAATCAAAATATAATTTGTTCTACATTATAAAGTTTAATTATTTATTTAGAGAAATTATTTATCCATATATTTATAGAGCAAAACTGTTATAATTTGCTAAAAAGAGTGTTTCAAAACCGATCTGCTAATTAGTTGTTGTCACTGCAAAAATATAATTTGTACATTTTTTAAAATATTGTGATCAGTAATTATTTATTTATTGATAAATAACATTCTCCACAGAAAACCCAATAGGAATTTGGATATTTACATGTGATTTCTGTTATTTTGCCAAATACAACTTGGCCATTACAAGTTATTCATGCTCGTCAGTTTCAGTCTATAAAATCCAATTAAAGGAACACACGAAAAGCCAACGCACTGGAAAACAAACAAAGAAACAAAAATGCCTAAAGCCAAGTTAGAGACTTTTTCTTGTTGATTACAGGCAAAAGATTCGAAAACCAAAAACCAATTATGGCTAACTAGTTGGACTGGCTATAAATTGAGGGCCGTGCGGGGGACTGGCAACATGCGAACCATTTCGTCATTTCGACTTTGGCCATTTAGCCATTTATCCTGACCGCAAGTTTTGTGTCAATTAAAAGTAGTTGCGATAGTTTTGTTTGCCTTGTGATGTTCATCTTTATTCTTTTTGCATACACACAGAAAAAAAAATTGACAGGAGAAGGATGCAAGAATAAGGGAGGTTACCAAAATAATTTCTCTTTTCAAGTTTTTGGGTTCTGCTCTGTTTTGCAAAAGTTTAAGCTTAAAATGCTAAAATACTGAAAACACTAAAAAAAAAGTCCATAAAAGGGATAATAACAAATTTTGTTTGGCCCTTATTGACAATATCTTATATTTATATTTATAAATTTCCATGATTTTTAAAAGTCACCATTTAATTTAAATATCTTCATATTAAGACATTAAATTAATTAAACAAGTATCGTTTTTTTAAAAAGGTTTTTTTTTATTTAAAATATATTATTATTAAAGATTTAAAAAAAAAATTGAGGAATTAGTTAAGATATATTTCATCTGCTTCGGTTCACTGTATGAAACGTTTACTGTACATATTTTATTGTTGTTATTATCGCGGCTGCTGCATTGGATACACACATAGTCACAAGTAAAAATAAATAAATAAAACAAAAGAAAAACAGACAGCTTTTGCTTCCCACTTTATCTCCGTGACTTTGTTGTTTTATTTTCTTGTTGCCATTGCACTCCATTCCGCCTACAGCTTCTTCTTTTTCTAGCCCGCTTCTTCATCTTCTCTCTGGTAACTTTTGATGCCTTCATACATATGTGTATATGGTATGGTGTGTCTGTAAAAAAGAGATACCGTTGCCAGTCAGCCAGCAAATGTTTATTTGTATTAGTAACGTTTTTTTTTTGTTTGGGCGCTTTTCTTGTGCCTCGCTCTTTTCATATCTTCCACTTCTCTTCCTGGTTGAGTCTTCTCTTTCACAAATTACAACGTTCCTTTTTATACCCTTGCAGAGGGTATTATAATTTTGGTCAGAAGTTTGTAACGCAGTGAAGGAGACGTTTCCGACCCCATAAAGTATATATATTCTTGATCAGGATCAATAGGGGAGTCGATATAGCCATGTCCGTCTGTCCGTCTGTCCGTCTGTCCGTCTGTTTCAATACCGTTTGCGAGCTCAGTTTAAAAGCTAGCGATCTGAAACTTTCACAATCGTCCTAAAACATGTGTACGCAGATCAAGTTTGAAAATCGCCCCGATCGGACGTCTATATCCTATAGCTCCCATAGGAACAATTGGATATATCTTGCAAGAATTTATGATATTTCGCGCAGTGTAAAAGCTATTGACACTAATCTTTACAAATCGTATTTTTTTATGCATACCTTGATCAAGGTAAAAGCGCGTGGCGATCGGACGTCTATATCCTATAGCTCCCATAGGAACAATAGGGTAAAATCGGTTAAAATTTAATGATTTTTAGGATATTTCGCGCAGTGTAAAATCTATTGACATAAATCTTTCCAAATCTTATTTTTTTATGCGTACCTTGATCAGGGTAAAAGCGCGTGACGATCGGACGTCTATATCCTATAGCTCCCATAGGAACAATAGGGTAAAATCGGTCCAAATTTGATGTTTTTCAGAATATTTCGCGATGTGTAAAAGCTATTGCTGTACATTTTTTCAAATCGTATTTTTTTATGCATTCCTTCATCAAGGTAAAAGCGCGTGCTGATCGGACGTCTATATCCTATAGCTCCCATAGGAACAATACGGTGAAATCGGTCAAAATTTCATGTTTTTTAGAATATTTCGCGCAGTGTATAAGCTATTGACATACGTCTATATCCTATAGCTCCCATAAGAACAATAGGGTGAAATCGGTCCAAATTTGATGATTATCAGAATATTTCGCGCAGTGTGTAAGCTACTAACATAAAATTTTCCAATTCTTATTTATTTACGCATATCTTGATTAGGGTAAAAGCGCTTGCCGCTCGGAAGTCTATATCTTAAAGGAGATAGTAAAAATTGTTAAAGGCTGCGAAAGTATCCCTTTTGTATATGACATTTTTGCAGTATAAAAGCAATTGACTTGAAACGATGCAAATCTAGTTTACTTATGTATACCTTATTCCTTTCGCTACTTTTTCACTTTTAGCAATTTCGTCAAAGTCTGCAAGGGTATTAAAACTTCGGCTTGCCGAAGTTAGCTTCCGTCCTCGTTGGCGCTGTTTTCACATTCATAGAAAGAAATATTTATTTTTTATTTATTTTATGGATACAATTTTTGTATCTTATGTTTAATATTTGTAACATCTTTATGAACATCTGTATTAAATATACTTTTTTTTCACCTTGCTCGTTTATAGATCTGTTTAAACATATCTTATGAACAATTCGACTGCCTGCATTATTGCATCCACTCACACTGGCGAATTGACTGTGTATCTATGTGAGACAAAAATAGTTGTATTTTGGAGGTCTGCACTTTCATGGCGGAAACTCGAAAGCGAAACAATGCCATAAATACAACAAACACACATACAGGGGCACTGAAATTAAAATAGATAACTAAATGCGGAAAAGAACAAGGGAAAACTTTAACAGAATGCGAATGCAGAGGGAATTCGGGAGGGAATCCGGAGTGTGGTAAATGGCCTGCTGTAAAATGTATTTGACTGTTTAGAATTTGAACTTAAATTTAGATCGAAAAGTCCGAACGCAGCTGCCGGAAAAATATACATATATAGAACATCGGGAATGGAGGATACACAAATATTAAAAATGTTTCAAGGAAAATAAGAAGCTCCAACGTTTTTATTTAAAATCTTTTGTATGCACGTCGTAAGCTTCGATCTTTGTTCATTCCCATTTATTTATTTTTTGTCTGTCTATGCCCCTTTCCATGTGTGTATAGTGGTTTTTTGACAGTTGAATGAACTCAAGCATTTATAAAAAAAGCAAAACAAGAAAAACGGAAAATAAATAAAGGCTATAACACACAATAATAAACAGAAAGAGCGTACAAGATAATAGAAGATCTACAGTTGCGGTCAATATTGTAGTAAAATTTAAATATAACAAATGCAAGGCAACTTTTCATACGAGTGGATTTTCGAGAATGTGAGCCAAGGAAATTTTCAATGTCACAATAAAAGTACCAATAATGTGATGATAACTTAATAATATATATATTTTTTATTCATAAGGGCGTTTAACCAAAAATGGAATTTTTGTCTTTCAAAAGCTTAACGTCAAATAAAAAATGATGACTATTATTTTGACCACAGCTGTAAATAGATAGTTGGAGGAAGCAGTGCAGATGTAGAGGGAATGAGAGTGAGATAAAGACAATAAGAGCGAGATGGAGAGACCTCACCAGTCAAACCACAAAAAGTAATTTTGTGTTGGAGCTAGAAAAAGACAAAAAAAAAAAAAAAAAAACACTGCATGCAGGCCTTTCAATATATGGTGGCATGTGCGACGGATAAGGGAAGAACCAGGAGAAAGAGGAAGGAAAGAAGTGGAGGAATTGGAGCCCACAGCCAGACAGTAAATGAAGTTTACGTGGAGTTGTTGGCCGGCAATGTTTGTTGCCTTTATTGGGTTTCATTTGCCTCTTTTTTTTCTGTTGTTTTGTTTAGTTTTATACTTTGTTATTGTTCAGATACGCTAGATATGCAACTTTGTACGGGACATTAGATAGAGAGAATTGGTCTTTGGTCACAGAAATAGCTCAACATAAATATAGTTGAAGTTCAGTGTGGTAATTGGAATAAAAACATTTAATTCATACAAAAAAATTAAGCTTTTTTTCAGATTAGACAAGAAAAGTTAATGGTCAAATATGATTGTTTTAAAAAACTTATTATTGTTTAAATTTTAAGTCTAAAATAGATAACAGAAATATTTGTGGGTTTCCTCTTCATTTGTAAGAAGCTGTGATAAGAAA